CGCTCTCAACGTGAGCGTTGAACGTGAGTTTTTCGGTCTATGATGACCCATAGCAATTTTATTTCATTATCGACACGGGCCAAGTCGACCCGTCCATGTGGAAGGACGCGGGGGGTCCCATATTTTTAGCTTGCGCGTTATTACCATAGCGTAAGTTTGTGTGTGCGCGAAGCGAAAGCGAATTTGGTGGGGGGTTGCACCCCACGTCTTCACATTATACGCTCGAGCGCGGCGTTGGCCTGTCGTTCAATCTCGATAGTGTGTGTTTTTCAGCTTCAAATACCAACACACCTCGTTGCGAACACTGTACGTAGACTAGCCACTGTGCCTCTCCAAGTCTCGGAAGCAGTGGATCCAAGAGTAGATTCCACAGGAATGGGTCCACCGATGGATCCTTGCACACATACTTTCTCGCGCGTCTCCTGTGTTCCTCTCCACAGTACCTCACAGTGACGTGCCTATCGTGTAGCTATCGAGGAGCTGTCTGATGTTGGTGGGACACATTTCCTCAGCCAGTCTGACCTTTATTTTGGGCCACCAAGCATTGTCAAATGCGCCCTCAATATCCAGTGAAACAAGAGCAACTATCTTTTTGTTATCTAGATTCTTCTTGATGTGCTTCATAAGGGTATAGAGGGCGTCTTCTGTGCTTCGTTGGGGCATAAAGCCAAACTGACGAGTACTGAGCTTGGGTCCAAGGTGGTGTTGCATTCTGGCTACCAGCATCTTTTCCAGAATCTTCCCAAGTACTGGTAGGAGGCCGATGGGACGATATGACTTCGGGGCCGTGTAGGTGTCTTTTCCCGGCTTTCGTAGGAAGACCACCGTGGCCTCCTTCCAGGCCTTGGGAAAGTGATGAATTGCCAGGCATCGGTTGAAAAGACTCAGAAAGAGGTCGGAGTTCTGACTTATCGTGTGCAAATGTCGGCCGTAAAACCGTCCGCGCCTGGTGCTTTTTTTTTTTTTTTTTTTAGGGTTAAATGATTGACTCGCCAACTTTAACTCCAGTTTAGTGAAGGGAGGGTCACTGTACTCCGTAGTGGTCTCGCCGCTCATGAGCTCGGCCAGGGCCCTCACCCGTTGGTGCTCGTCCGAGTCATGCTCTTCCAAGTCCTCCGGGTAGAACGTCTCAGCCATGAGTCGAGCTGAGCTTTTGGTATCCAGCTCCATGTTGTTTACTACAAGCGGTGGGTCCTCTTCACGTCTAGCCGTCCTGCCTAGTACCCTGTAGATTCCCACCCCCCCCAGAGAGTCTCTCGGTCTTGTTTGCCACAGAAGTCCTTCCAAGATCTGGTTTGAGCCTCCTTTTCCTCCGCCTCATATCTAGTTTTCGCCTCCAGGTACTCATCTACCACCTTCGGTCTCCGAGATTGTGTGGTTGCATGTTTCGGTCAATGCGTGTGTGAGTTTGTGTACAGTGTCATCTAATTGTGTGGCTGTGTGAATGTGTTCTATGTCGGTGACTGTAATGTGTTCGGATTGCAATGCTTGACCCAATTTCTCGTGAAACTGGATCCATTTTGCCTTCCTTGTATTGTATGTGCGTGTGGTGTGTTTAATGTGATTGTGTCTGACCTTTGTAAGATGTATTGCGAAGGAGATGCCGTTATGATCAGAGGAAGTTAGCCCCTCACGTACTCGCCAGTCATCCACCAGATCGAGAAGCTCAGGCGATGCAGTCGTGATGTCCACAAAGCTGGTGTACCTCTGTGCGCCCCTTACTACGTCAAAGGTGGGAATATCCCCCCTGTTCAGTATGTCTAAGTCGAGGTCTTCTAGGGTACCACGCAGCTCCTCGCCGCGACTATCCGTGACGGGGTTACCCCACCACATGTTTTTGGCGTTGCAGTCTCCTGCTACTAACCATTTTGTGGCTCCCAACTCTGTTCGGATCTTGCGCAGGTGTGCCAGATGAGGGTCCATAGGCTGGTCGGGCTCGAAGTAGAGCGAAACCAGGGTAATCTCCCATGCACTGGTTCGGATCCCCACCACTGCGATGTTGTTCGTGGTGAGTTTTGGGTATTGTGTGATGTGAAGGTAAAATTGAAGACAATTATTGCTGCCTTAACAGTACCCTCCCCGTTGTCGGTGCATTGGAAGACCCTTATACCACTCCGACCCAATACCCTACTCTCTCTACCGACGTATGGTTCGTGCACTAACGCCACCTGAACTCCGCCCTTTTCGGCTTCAAGCAGGAGCTCGGTAAGTGCGAGTTTCTTACGCTGGAGGTTCGCTTGCAGAAATTTAATTGCCACTGTGTCGACCGGCACAACCTTAGCAATACGCCACTGCCGAGCGGGCCAATTCTTCCCACTTCCGTCTAACTGGGCAGTCACTGCTGAATGTATTGTGCTCTCGATTCTCAAACTTCGCCTTGAGACAGTTTCTGCATGAGGGCGGGGTTGCCTCAGCCCATTCGGTACATTTCGTCTTAAGATGTGGACCTCCACAGTGACTGCATACGTCTGTCGTTTCCATACAGAATTTTTTTTGCTGTGACCATAGCCGAGACAACGAGAACATTGAACCAGTGGGGACTGATCCTCCACTCTGACCCTCTGGAGGTCTATGTGGACGCTGCCCATACCTGTGATCCGATTCCAGAGAATGGGCGAGGTGCTCAGGACCACGTTTTCCATTTGCGCGTTCCGGGTCGGTTTCCTATACTTGACAAGGATCCGGTCGTCTTCGCTATTGAGGCCGTCAAAGATACTCTTGTTTTGGTTCTTCAACTTAAGACGCCTCTGAGGATCACGAGTGGGTCTCTGTTCTTAACATCCTCAACAACGAGGCCGGTTCCTTTTTTCAGTTAGCCGTTCCTTAGCCTTCTTTCTTTCTTCTGTGGAGTTGAACCCCATGACGATCTTTCTATCACGTGCTTTCCTTACTCTCTCAACTTTTACCCATCCTTCTTTCGCATCGATTGTCTGTCGTATCTTATCTAGAACCTCGTCACTAGTCTCAGTTTCATTTTTCGACGTAACAACCATCGAGTGAATTGCGCCCTGTACCTGTTGTGGCGATTTCGATGCCACCACATTCGCGTAAGTCTTTTGCTCTATTGTATTCTGGCACTTCGCCAGTCGCTCTTGGAGGTCTGTCAATTTTCGGGAGTTCTCCATCAAGAGTCGAGTGTGCTCATCGAGCTTGGCACTAATGCTAGACTCCTGGTCAACCGCAGATGCAGAGCCGGTGTCCTCTGTCAACAACCTTACAACCCCGGCGTCCCCGGGTCCCCCACAGGCACACTATGCCTCCGATGTTGTCTTCATTTTTTTTTTTTATAATTATTTTTATAATAATTTCTCTGAGTTTATCGAGAGAAGCCGACATGGTGTTTTTGTATTCGGTTTTAAGATTTCTTGATTGATCAAGCGCTGTTTTCGCTTCTCCGATGATTATGTCGGCTTCTTTCATTATGTCATTATAGATAAAAGCTTTAGTTTTTTTTTTTTGTTCCGGTCCTTTTCCTACCTTTTTAATTAAAAGCCGCATTAACACTTCCTCAAGGCTTCGTCGAGCCGCCATATTCGTCTTTGAAGGCATCTTAGGTGAGCTTACTCCCTCCGCCGATTAAGTTGGTGTTCTAATCATGTTTCTTAAAATTTTAAATTTGTCGATTCTAAAAGGAGTTAGATTAAAAATTTATACTAGTCTATTCCTGCAAACACCGATTGTAAAAGAAAATTCAGTAAAAAACTTTTCAGAAGCAAAATAAAATCAATTTAAATCCCCAAGGTCACTAAAATCTATATGGTAAAAGAGAAAAGGGAGGGTGGGGGGCCTTTTTTTCGATTTCCCGGTGTATATCGGGGAAATAAACCATGGGGATGTATATTAGACGTAATTACAATGTATTTAAAACGATTTTAGACGAAATTTAGACAAATTTTTTTTTTTTAACGTAATTATAATCTATAAATGAAATTTTTTAATTGAAGTCTTAATTATACTTAGACTATAGAAATAGGAAGATATACAACTAAAACTACTTAATTTAGTAACAACAATGCAATTATAAGCAAATTGAAAGACATTTCTAAAAATTTTATATATATGCAATGGTTTCGGGACTTTCCGAAACCTAACTTCCCGAAACCTAACTTTCGGAAACCGTAAGTTAGGTTTCCGAAACGTAACTTCCTGAAACCTAACTTACGGAAACCTAACTTCCCGAAACCTAACTTCCCGAAACCTAACTTTCGGAAACCTAACTTCCTGAAACCGTAAGTTAGGTTTCCGAAACTTAACTTCCTGAAACCTAACTTCCCTAAACCTAACTTTCGGAAACCTAACTTCCTGAAACCGTAAGTTAGGTTTCCGAAACCTAACTTCCCGAAACCTAACTTTCGGAAACCTAACTTCCTGAAACCTAAGTTCCCGAAACCTAACTTTCGGAAACCTAACTTCCTGAAACCGTAAGTTAGGTTTCCGAAACCTAACTTCCTGAAACCTAACTTCCTGAAACCTAACTTCCCGAAACCTAACTTCCCGAAACCTAACTTCCCGAAACCTAACTTCCCGAAACCTAACTTCCCGAAACCTAACTTCCCGAAACCTAACTTCCCGAAACCTAACTTTCGGAAACCTAACTTCCTGAAACCGTAAGTTAGGTTTCCGAAACCTAACTTCCTGAAACCTAACTTCCCGAAACCTAACTTTCCGAAACCTAACTTCCTGAAACCGTAAGTTAGGTTTCCGAAACCTAACTTCCCGAAACCTAACTTCCCGAAACCTAACTTCCTGAAACCTAACTTTCGGAAACCTAACTTACGGAAACCTAACTTCCTGAAAGCGTAAGTTAGGTTTCCGAAACCTAACTTTCGGAAGCCTAACTTACGGAAACCTAACTTCCTGAAACCTAACTTCCCGAAACCTAACTTCCCGAAACCTAACTTCCCGAAACCTAACTTTCGGAAACCTAACTTCCTGAAACCTAACTTCCCGAAACCTAACTTTCGGAAACCTAACTTCCTGAAACCGTAAGTTAGGTTTCCGAAACCTAACTTCCTGAAACCTAACTTCCCGAAACCTAACTTCCCGAAACCTAACTTCCCGAAACCTAACTTCCCGAAACCTAACTTTCGGAAACCTAACTTCCCGAAACCTAACTTTCGGAAACCTAACTTCCCGAAACCTAAGTTCCTGAAACCGTAAGTTAGGTTTCGGGAAGTTAGGTTAGGTTAGGTTAGGTTAGGTTAGGTTAGGTTAGGTTAGGTTAGGTTAGGTTAGGTTAGGTTAGGTTAGGTTAGGTTAGGTTAGGTTAGGTTAGGTTGGAGGTTGACCTTTCTGCGATTGTTTTGGATATTCTCGATTGTTTTACGTTTGTTTATGCTTACCGGATTTGATTGATGCACACCTGATTTGTATTTTGGCTTGGATTTATGGTTTTTTGATTTTTGCTTGTGATTTGGATTCTGTTGATATTGTGTGTGTTTTTGTTTGTGTTTGGGGGTTTTGGGGTGTCTGAGTGATGGACTCGGACACGTCCGAGGGTGCGGAGACCGACTCGTCCGTGGGGCGAAAGCGGACCCACCCATTACCGCCTCTGGTTAGTTCCTCCGGGTCTGACACAGAGACGGAAATGACGGTTGGCGCCAGAATAGTTAAGGCGCGTAAGGAGGTGTCCCAGAAGGGCGCTGCTAAGGTTGGGGGTTCGGGCGTTGCTCGCGCACGCCGAGACCTGAAAAAATTGGAGGAGGAGGACCGCGAAATAGAATTTGAGAGGCGTCTCAATCAGCGGACCTACCGCAAGACTGGCACTCCGGTGCCAAGTGATTCCGAGGCGTCGGCGGCTGAGGCCCCAGCCCGGAAAGACCCGGCTGAGCAGACGGCCGATGAACTTAGAGAGCTGGCTAGTAAGAGTGTGGCGGCAGTGCTGGAAGTGGCCCAGAAGTCGGGCAACTTAAAAGGCACGATGCAAAAAATGTTGAAGGAGTCTGCCGCCACACTACAAAAGGTGGTGGAAACACTAGCAGGGCGTACGGTGGCGGAGGAGGTTGCCACCCTCAAGAAGGATAATGCCCGCCTCCGCCGCGAGACGGAGGGACTTAAGGCGGAGTTGAAGGCCCACCGACGCGAATTTTGCGAGCTGCGAAAGGAGCTGTCGGCGTCCAAAGCCGGTCCCTCGGATACCTTCGCGGGGGATTGGCTGGAGGAGATAAGGGCCTCCATAGTCGCGTCGGTGGGGACTTTAATAGACGCGCGTTTCGCCGGGATTGAGGAGCGTCTTCTCCCGGCGAAGACAATGCGTCCCCCGCTTGCGGCGGACAGGCGTCGCGAGGCGGCTGCGCCGATGGCTCCCCCGAGACCTGCCCCGAGAACTTCACCCCCAAGGCAAGTGCCAGCGCCGGCTGCGGCTGTGGCCGACGGGGGCTCTGCAGTTCAGGGCAAAGGTAAGGGGAAAGGAAAGGGAAAGGGCAAGGCCACAGCGTCTGCGCGGCCACTTCCGCCTGCCCCTATAGTTGCCGCTCCTGCTCCTCCTCAGCCGGTGGCCGGGCCGAGTCGCCCCGCTAACTCGGAAGGGGATACCTGGGCCACTGTCGTGAGGAAGAGCAAGGGGAAGCCGAAGAAGGCGGCTCCTCCTGCCTCTGCGCCTGTGGTGGCGAAGGCTTCAAAGCCCCCCCAGGCTAAGCCTAAGGTCCCCGCACAACCGCGCACTGCCGCGGTCATCATAACGGTCCCGCAGGAGGCCGCCGCGAAGGGCGTCTCCTACGCGCGGGTCCTGGAGAGGGCCCAGCAGAGCGTGGACCTGCGGGAGTTGGGGATCACCGGGGGGCTTACCGTGAGGGTGGCGGCGACAGGGGCGAGGCTCCTTGAGCTCCCTTCCTCCGCTGCGCCAGAGGTGGCGGACAGGCTGGCGGAGAAGCTCCGCCAGGTCCTGGACGGGCTCGCGACCGTCGCGCGTCCCGCTAAGACGGCCGATCTCCGGGTGGACGGGCTCGATGATTCGGCCACAAAGGACAAGGTGGCTGCGGCGGTCGCAAGGGCGGCCAACTGCTCCGTGGCCAGCGTAAGGGTCGGGGAGATCCGCACGGGAAGGGGCGGCGTGGGCTCAGTCGTGGTGCGATGCCCCGCCACGTCGGCGAAGGTGGTGGTAGACTCCGGCAGGCTCCTCGTGGGCTGGAGCTCGGCCAAGGTGGAGGTCCTGGAGCAGCGCCCATTGCGCTGCTTCAGGTGCATGGGCATCGGCCACACCTGGCCTGTGTGCCCGTCCAGGGTGGAGAGGGGCCGCCTGTGCTACCGCTGCGGCGGCGAGGGGCACCAGTCCGCGGAGTGCAGCGCAAAGACCGTGCGCTGCGCCGTGTGCGCGGATGCGGGGCGCCCCTCGGGGCACATAATGGGCGGGGGCGACTGCCACCCGCCCGTTACGAAGGGGAAGACGGCCCAACGGACCAGGGCCGCCCCCGGAGTGAGTAGCCGCCAGGCTGGGGAGGAAGCGCACATGTCCTCATAATGGTCGGACACCAGCGCTTCCTCCAGGGGAATTTGAACCACTCGGCCGGAGCGCAGGACCTTTTCCTGCAGTCCATGGCCGAGTGGGAGATAGACCTGGCGGCGGCCTGCGAGCCCTATTTTGTCCCTCACCAGCCGAACTGGGTGGGGGACCTAGAGGGCTCCGTGGCCATAGTGTCTGGGAGCAGCACCGGCCCCCGTCTCTCGGCAATCGAGAGGGGCCAAGGACTCGTCGTGGCAGGGTGGGGAGAGTACGCCATCGTTGCGGTGTACTTCTCCCCCAACCGCAGCCTGGCGGAGTTCGAGGTTTTCCTTGACTCCGTCCGCGCTGCGGTCTGCAGGCAGTCGCCGAGGCCCACTATCGTCCTCGGCGACTTCAATGCCAAGTCCTTGGCCTGGGGGAATCCCACGTCGGACGCTCGAGGGCGAGCGGTTCAGACGTGGGCCCTACTCTCCGGTCTGTCCCTACTCAATGTGGGGACGGCGTTCACGTGCGTGCGGCAGCAGGGGGGGTCCGTGGTGGACCTAACGTTCGCCACCCCCGCCGTCGCACGCAACGTGATCAACTGGAGGGTAGAGGAGGAGGTGGAGACCCTGTCGGACCACAACTACGTCCGATTTGAGGTCTCCACCCGTCCGGTGCCGGTGGACCGCCCAAGGGGGCCCCCTCGAGCGTTCCCGAGGTGGGCCCTAGGCCAGCTGGACACAGAGCTGGCCAGGGAGGCGGCCATCGTCGAAGCGTGGAGCTCCCAGGGGAGTGTGGTGGGCGCCAGTTCCGATGTGGAGGAACTGGCTGGCCGCATTCGCGACGCCCTTACGAGGGTGTGCGATGCGGCCATGCCGCGTGTCAGGCGGGCAGACCGGCGTCGCCGGAGTGTCTATTGGTGGTCGCCCGAGATCGCACAACTTCGGGCGACCTGCAATAGACACAGGAGGGCCTACGTGAGGTGTCGCAGGAGGAATGGCCTGGACCCTGTCTTGGAGGGCGAGCTGCGGGTGGCCTATCGGTCCGCAAAGAAGGCCCTGCAGCTCGCCATCAGCCAGGCCAAGGCGGCGGCCCGCCAGGAATTGCTGGCGGGCCTGGATCGGGATCCGTGGGGGCGCCCGTACATCAGCGCGCGGAACAAACTCCGCGCGCATGGCGCCCCGGTCACGGAGACCACGCCACCCGACGTCCTCCTGCGACTGGTGGGAGGCCTGTTCCCGGAGTCCTCCGGGCACGTCCCCCCGGTGATGTGTCCTCCCTCACGCCATGAGGGAGTCGACGAATTCCCCCCAATCACCGAGGGGGAGATGGAACTGGCCCGCGACAAACTGCGGGCCAAACGGACGGCTCCGGGAACGGATGGTATTCCGGGGCGAGTTCTGTGCATCGCCCTGGAATACCTGGGAGGGGATCTTCGGGACCTCTTCAACGCATGTCTTCGCGTTGGGCAGTTCCCGAAGATCTGGAAGGAGGGGTTGTTGTGCCTGTTGCCCAAGGAGGGTCGTCCTCTGGACTCCCCTTCGGCATACAGGCCAATCGTGATGCTGAGTGAGATGGGCAAGCTCTTCGAGAGAATTCTCGTTGCCCGTCTTACTCAGCATCTCGAGGAGGTGGGGCCGGGCCTTTCGGAGGCTCAGTTCGGGTTCAGGGCGGGTCGGTCGACTGTGGACGCCCTGAACGCCCTGAAGGTTCGGTCCTTGGCCGCGGTGGAGGAGGGAGACGTGCTTTTAGCCGTCTCGTTGGATGTGGCCAACGCCTTCAACACCCTGCCGTTTGAGACGCTACGAGAGGCACTTCGGTACCATGAGGTGCCTCTCTATCTCCGGCGGGTGTTGGACGCGTACCTCCGCGACAGGCAGGTCGTGTGGATGGGGGCAGATGGGGTGGTCGGTCGGCGACGTGTCGACTGCGGGGTTCCACAAGGGGCCGTTTTGGGCCCGGTACTGTGGAACCTCGGGTATGACTGGCTCCTGCGTTGTCCGCTTCTCCCCGGGCTCGGTGTCATCGCTTATGCCGATGACACCCTCGTCACAGCCCGGGGGCGCTCTTACGAGGAAGCGGCACGCTTGGCCACAGTCGGCACCAACCTAGTCGTCGACCGTATAGGGTTGCTGGGCCTGAGGGTCTCCGTCTCCAAAACGGAGGCCCTCCTTTTTCATGGCCCACGCAGGGGTGCCCCCCGCAACGCCTGTCTGCGGGTCCAGGGTAGGATGGTGGAGGTACGGGCCCAGATGAAATATCTGGGCCTGACCCTGGACGGACGCTGGACGTTTCGTGTCCATTTCGCCCAGCTCACCCCGAGACTGATAGGCGCCGCCTCGGCCCTCGGCAGACTTCTGCCGAATGTCGGGGGCCCTGGATCTCACTGCCGGCGGCTCTACGCCGGCATCGTGAGGTCCATGGCACTGTACGGTGCCCCCGTGTGGATGGACGCCCTCTCCGCACCGAACAGGGCCCAACTGCGCAAGGCGCAACGGGTCCTGGCGGTGAGGGCGGTGCGGGGATACCGTACGGTGTCCTTTACGGCGGCGACACTTCTGGCGGGCGATCCGCCCTGGGAACTCCAGGCGGAGGTGCTCGCCGAAGTCTATCAGTATCGGGCGAGTGAGCGGGCACGAGGGGAACGTCCAGCGCGGGAGGGAGTCGCTCGGATCAGGCGCCTAGCTGACGAGGCACTGATCCGGCGCTGGTGGGAAGATCTGGGGACTCCAGC